CTGCCGGATTATAACAATTATTTTCACCGCTGCACAGTGGCACAAATCTGAATAAAGACGGTCAAATATATTTTCTACCCTTTTTCAACGATTTCGAGACTAGATGTTTAGGGAGAAGTTACTCAAAATAATATCCGGCATCTTTTGAAATAAACACCTGAATAATCTTTAAGCTAGAATTACACATCCGAATTCTAACTTTTTCCAGTTACGAGATAGTGGTTCTATGTCTTGCACAAAGTTGCAGAACAGTTGATTTTATGAACATTTACTAAAGACACGATCTTCTCCGATTTACATGAAACTTCGCATAATTGTTTGTTACGGTCAATCATTCACGTTTTTGCTAGAGTCGGTGTATAATGAGTCACGCCAAGAGAAAAACAGTTGAACTCGCATCACGGTTTCCGAAGGATTCCCTTTCTTTTCACTTGGCAACAGAGGACTTCTACATCAACTTTAAATGACTTCTAGCAAAAACCAAAAATAACGGCTGTAGTGAATCATAATATCAGTGATTTTGTCAAATTATCTTATCAAAAAATAGTAGAAATTCTCATTACTGATCAAAACCAAACGTATCCCATGACCATTTAATGCTCGCTGCGTGTTTATGATGATTTCTTCAATTTTATTTTATATTTCATTGCAATACCTTTCGTGGACCTTTCATAGCATCGTAATGTTTATTTACTTTGCACGATAGGTAGCCGATTTGACAGTTCAATAGGTAGACTTGGCTTCACTCTTGGCGTGACTCATTATACACCGACTCTAGTTTTTGCTAAAATTCGGTCATTTTTGCGGGATTCAAACAAAACTTCTAAATGGAGTATTCGAGATTTTTCAATAAATCTTATCTCGAAAACGTCACTTTCAATCAAAATGACGTCTGAAGTTGTAGAGGAAAAATCCTTTCAGAAAAAATATACACGGTGAAAAAAATCAATTCATTTTGGGTAAAAATTCAGACAAGTGTTTAAATTTAAATAACAAAAACTACCCCGTTGAATATTTTTTTCCTTTATTTCTCATTAAAAAGCTTTAAAAAAATGCTAGCCTCTTTGGAAAATGCTAGCCTTCATTCGAATGTCCCTCCAATTATGACAACGAAATGTCAAACTAAATGTGACGTCTATTTTTGATGTATAACTGCTTTTTAACTGAGCTACAACCGTAAAATTAGCTTGAATAACCTTACATATTTTTTTTGGTGAAATCGCTGTGTTTACTATTTCCCAAATCCGTCCGCGAATTAGTTTTTGGTTAAACGTATATTCGTATAATTTTATAGTGGAGCTGGGTCTCAAAATGAGTGCAAGGTAAAAAAAAATAATGGGATTAAAGACAAGTGCTTCATATCTAAACTGCAGGGTGACCAGTGATCCGGGAAACCGAAAAACCGGGCTGAAGCCACCGGGAAAAAACCGGGAAGATCCCGTGAATTTCGATGACAAATCCGAAAAAAATTACTTCCTCTATTTAAAAAAAAATGAGATTTTAAGACCCTTGGACTCGTCTAGATTTTTAGGATACAGTCACTTTGAAGATTTTTTTTCCAAAACAAATTTTGACAGATTTTATAATGAATACTAGAAATAAAACCAAAGTATTTCAGAAAACATTTTTGGAGAGATTTAGGAAAATCTCTACGAGAGTTTCGACACCCATGTCAATTGAGTGAGTTCAGAGTAAAAATTTAAGCACTTCTCTAGAAAATTCCATGACGATTGTGAAGAGGAACCCAGGATTCGTAAAAAGATACCAAGGGAATTGAATTTGAAGGGTGCAATTCCAAAGAAAATTCTGTGGATAATTCCATGCGCATTTCGAAAAGAAATTCTAGATAATTTTAAGGAGAGTTCCAAGCAATTTCCAGATGAATTTAAAGGAGAACCCCAAGATAATACTGAACAAAATTTGAAGACAATTTCCGACGGGAGAATTTCTCATTCCCGATGGTGTTGGCAGGGAAAGGTGGTCAAGAATCCCGAGGTGAATTTCATGCGAATTCTGCAAGGAATTCCGAGAATTGAAGCGAATTAAAAAAATTAAGCTTCATTGAAAGAGTTTAAAATTCAAAGAGAATCTATGAACGAATTTCAAGAGAGTATTAAAAAAAATAAGGCGAATTCTAAAAAAAATGCTTTGAATGGAAATGATTTTAAAGGAAATGCTTAAGAACAATCAAATAAAATCCTGTTAAGATTTGAGTGAATTTTCATAGACAAATTGTGAACACTTCGAACGTGTCCCAGAGTCAAATTCAAGATCCAGGAAAGTAGATTTATATCGCAATGGTTGCAGTTCCTTCACACATCCGTAACGTCCCGTTTACTGCTTGAACTGATTACCTGGTGTTTACCACGTTTAAAATGTGTGTATTTTTCTAAATGCGCTGCCTTCCTGTTTTTGGCAACACGCGATTTATGTCTTATTTGCATTCTATAAAATGTATCGAATGCTTTATTCAATTCGAAATTTTATAGGATCAATCTTCATGGATTAGAGGTCCATGTGGTATTCCATGAAAAAATGTCCAGAAGGCACTGGTATAGTTCTGAAGAATGTAATAGTCGATGGGATTGTCAAAACCGGGTAGGTACTGCACCTGGAATTATTGTGGAATTTGCTGGAAAGTCAGGCAATATCAGGGAATTTGATTTTCTTCATTGAGTCGACACCCTGAATTACATCTCTTCAATGATTTATTAAATTTTGCAATATATTCCTGCTAAATGAGCTGTTTAATTTACACTTTTGTATCCTATAGTTTATTAATTTTTAATCAAGACGTCAACAAATCTCACCGTTCAAAATTGTGGCAAATTTCGGAACCCATTAACATTTCAGCCCTCATCAGATATGCGATGTATTTCCGCTTTTATTATAATTTTATGCCCGATGTGTGCGATTGTGCGATACGTCGAGACAGGCACGAGTCACGGATGATGCGATGGATGTCGCGTGTACTCTACAATCCACCGAGCTTTATGAATTTTGCATATTAGTGATCATTTGCATTCGATAGCTTAGTCAGTCAAGTCGTAGCATACCATTCGGGAAGGTGGTGGGTTCGATTCCCGATCCGGTAGAGATATACGAATTCCATGTTTTTTATGGTGGATTAGAAACTTGAGTGCAGTTTTTGGAGTTCCAATTGGTACGTAGTAACCGTGAAGAAGAGGCAAAACAAAGGGCACTACCGTCGATAGGACGAATAACTCCACAAATGGCTTCGTCGGTTCGGTTGCGACGTCGACGACGACGACTAAGATGACGATGGAGTTAACTTCCACAGAATACGGGTGAGTGACGACAACGAGCGTGTCATCCGTAGGCGTAAATTCTATCAACTTTGCATCAATATTGTAACGCATGGCAGTAACGTTTTGCATATGCCTTGAATAAAGTGCAGTAAAATTATGCACCGGAGTAAAATTCCTGCTTGAACTGCTAGTCGTTAAGTGTTGCTTTTGAAGGAATTTAAACCAAAAGAGAAGCAATTTGCGCATGCAAATTTTCTGCGTGTATGACAATCCGTTCCCGTTCGGAGACAATTTACGACAACCGTCACATGTTTTCATTCGGCTTTCCGATTCCCTTGATCCCTCGCATGAGGGTTACAGTCGGGCGATCATGTTCATGTAAGCGCCACTGTGTTGCTTGCTGAAGACAGAACTTAATAATTCAATCCAGCAGTTCCTTGAGAACAAGATGTATGCTTTCATTGTCGAAGGTTTTTTTCTTTTTCTTGCCGTTGAGAGGAACATAATGGTGGATGGTGCAGAGGTTGATGAGACTACTTTATGAGTTGGTTTTTTGCTCGCTCGGTTTCGAGGCTGGTAGCCCTTGGAAACACAAGGAGCCTGCGCGCACAGCGTTCTCCGTAGCAAAAGGGCAATCCATTTTCCGTGATTTCACGTCACTGATTAGCATAAAATAAGAGACTGTCTGGATTACGTCCAAGCTCTAGCCCAGAAAATGTTCTATAGGTACAGCAAAGTGCACTCAATGACGACGACGATGGACTGATTTATGCGGGCTTTTGTGAATGTCATTTTTCAGGTTGTCGTACCGGATTGCTTGTTCCAAAGGATGATTGATCTCATTTGAGAATTGATTGGACAATAAAAGGCCTCTCATTGCCTAGTGGAGCAATGCAGTTAAGTTGAGCCGAATTTTCACTGTCTCATCAAAATTCACATCCTCTGTTTCCTCATTCCCCTTTGAGGCGTTCCGGGCAACAAGAATCATCATCCGAGTGCCATCGTGATTCAATCAATTAAGGCCAATTGGATTTTCATTACATCCTCTTTCTCTCTCTGTATGTGGTGTAGATATTCATGCTGCTAATTATACCGATGGCCATGCGTTAAATTTGTTACAACATAGGCCGTCAAAATGATTCCGCTTAATCGAATGGCACAGAACATCATCGGCCACTCCAGGTTTCACTTGATATTACACCGAGAACTTTTTTCGTGCATCAATTCCACATGACCATTTGTGTATAACTCTCGTCCGGCGACGGAAAATGCTCCGGGGTTTTGCAACTTTCTTTTGGGTGTAACTATGACAGCATCCGTCCAGCGGTACAGAAACGTTACCGAGTAAACATGAAAGAGGCGAAACCGCAGATTGCCTAATTGGAAGTTAATAACACCCAGTCCTAGCGGGGGCAATATGTCGAAGCTCAGGAAGTAATAAAACTATTAAAATAAGCAGTAAAGATTAGATTTGGCTTTTGCTTTAATTCGTTAATCTCGAATTGGAAGGCCACAGGGCGTTGCTTGGTTCTATAGCTTCTAGTTAAGGCGCCATTACGTACGTGGCCTAGATGGAATCTCTCCTCGAAATAACTTCCTAGCCAAATCACGTACGCATCCGCATCCATCCAATCACCCACCCACCCGGAATCTATCTGTATGCAAAAATAAAAGAGCCAATCGATTTACTTACTCATCATTCTTCTCCTACTACTTGTTTATCCTTCACAGATCTGTCCCGCAATCGGTTCTGCGAACTGCCAGAGGACATCACATCGTTGGCCTTCCTCGAACGCCTACTCGTCTTTCACAACACGATACGCTCGATACCGGACACGGTCCGGGGACTGCACTCGCTCACCTATCTAGATCTACGGTAAGTTCGGTTTGATGTCTCTTTGTTTAGAATTATACATATATTAGATATCTGCTAGAAGCTCGACTCGTGGAACTTTTAAGATGTGGAACGGCAATAGCGAATCGGTTGAGGCGACCATCTCACAGTACTCACTGTAATTGTTTTGTTCGGTACATAAAAACCACTGCGACCAGTAATTTGATCTATTGTAGTATATCCCGTGTCCTTAGTTTAGGGCATGTCGTATTACTCTATCACTATTGAGAAATGATGAATTATTTGTTTTTGATACAGTTGACACTTTTGCGTTCATTGCAAGGAATCGATTCTAATTGAAAGGTCCCAATATTTATACCCTTCGTAGAGTGAGAGCACCCCCAAAGGCGCGCTCCTTTGTCAGTCAAAATTGGATACACAATTAAGCAATGACACCGATAATTAACCACTTCAAACTATGGAACAACGAATAGAAGATTAGAAATCACATAGATGAAGACTAACTGACTCATTTTCTCTTTGTTTCAAGATCATTCTCGGTGGACAAAGTCGAGTCTTGTCATCAACAAGGCATAAAAAGTAACAAGGACTAAGATGCGTTCCTTTGATTACTGAAAAATCCTGTTCCCCTTATTTGAAGTAGTCAGGACTAGAAATCGGTGGTAGATCTTACATCCCGTAACGTACCACGAAAAGGTGATCTACCCACGTCACGGGGCACTCACTGTAATTACAAGAATTCATAAAGAACTTTGAGTTGATTTTTCTAAGCTCAATCTTTTAAGGAACTTCAATTGTTCCTGAAGCAATTTTAGGATTCTAGAATGGTAAATTTCCCAGTCACCTGGTGGCTGCATCGATACGAAGATGGCATATTTTCACTACGCTCAAGATTCTGTTGAGTTTGGAAAAAAGTACCGAAGCTCTAGGACTACTTTTCAGGACAGGACAATAAATGGCCATTTTTCAGGAGAATCCCCGGGACGAATTCAAGGCATTGACCGTTTTCCCAGTAAATCTGAACGTCCGGAGTATAGTTTACTAGTCACCAGGTGACGGAATCAATATGATGATGGCTCATTTCCACTATGCCCATGATCCTAAACAATTTTATAGAAAATCGCGAAGGACGACTATCAAGAAATTCCAATTTTTCAGGTGAATCCGGATATCCGCAGAACCCTTTACTAACCACCCGGCGACAAAATCAATATGGTGATAGCATATATCGACTATGCTCAAGATACTACACATCCCCTATTGCGAAGTAATGACTCTATATATTTTGAAACAAATCGTAGAGATATGACTTCTTTTAAGAAAACGGCTTCCTGGAGAGTTTGGATATCCGGAGCACGGCTCTACATTTTCGAAGCTCTAAAATGAACTCGAGTTTTGTTTCTTTCACACAACGTGACCATAAGCACGAAACGAAAATGAAAAAGAAGCACACTGAAAAATGAAAGCTAGCTTCGTCGCATTGATTTTGTCGATTGAAGCTGATATTTTGACACCCTGATCCAAAGAACCGTTTACAGGTCATCCGCAGTTATAATTGATATGATAATGGCATATCTCCATTATGTCCAAGATTTAAAAAAAAAGAGCGGGTATCTAAGACTACTTCTCGGTTCGGTTCGGTTCGGTAATCTATCCAATTTTTTCGAAATTTTGAAAACCACTATATTGTTTTGCATGGAATGGCTATACATACAGTGTATCTCAAAATTGTGCGTACAGCTGTCCGTACATTTCAGAAAAACAGCTGTACGAGCTCAACTTAAAAAGATAGATTTCTAAATTTTTGGCTGCTGGCTCTTCAACCATTTACTGGTTATCGCTATAGTATTGGGCTTATTTGGATGAGTGTGTAAGAAGTTAGAGCTATTTTAGAAAAACTAGATTTCCTAAAATAAAACCCATTTTCTAGAAATACAATGAGCCAAACATATTGAACTTTTGCTTATCTGTAGTCATAATAAAGATCTTTAAAATACTACTAATTTTACTAAAATCCGCCTACTATGAAAAAAGTTGAAAATCGACCGTTTTACTGAAATTACTCAAACTTCATACATACTCTTATGCAATAAAGTCCATAATTGTTCAACCATTAGCCAAGATTTCAAAAATCTATCTATTCACAGTCTTTTAAAAAATTGCTCATTCAGGTGTACGCTCAATTTTGAGATAAACTGTATAGTTGACTTATATGAAATTCGTACAAGTTCGGAAAACTTGGTAAAAATTCGGTTGTAGATTTATTAGAAGTTCAAGGATTTTCGAATAAGTTTACGGAACTTCCTAGGGGTTTGTGGAACTTCTCACAAGATCAGGAAACTTCATTAAAGCTCAAGGAGTTCAAATAAGCTCAATGGATTGTATGCCACTTAAGGTAGCTTCGTTTGAACTCATAGAACTGGTAGCATATAGCACAGGATCCTTCATAGTAGTTCATGATAATTTGCAGAATTTTAGAGAACTTCGTTGATATTCACTGATTTTTAATAGGATACCTATAAAATCGTCTGCATATTTCTCAAGATTTTAGGATATTCTTCCAAGTCGGCAGGTTGATCAGGAAGTATTTAAAGCATCTCCAGCTGATACAAAATTGCAATAAAGTCCCCTTGATTTTTTTTAAGACTTCAGTTACCTAAAAAAAAAGAAGATTTCATTCATGCAGGATGAAAGCGTAAACCGTAATGTATAGAAAGATAAACGAGAATGTTCGGGATATCTTTCAAATGTCTTCAAAATGAAGACATGTCTTCAGGTCTGGCGTCTCTGTGGTGGACTGTCTATTTGTCTGTTTGCCTGTCTGTATGTTTATCTGTTTATCTGTTTGTTTGTCGATCTTTCGCTTTTCGTAGCTGCTAGACTTCAGAACTGTTGGTATGTCTGTCTTTCTGTCTATCTGACTGTTTTTTTTTGGCTAGGAAGAAACCTTCAAAAAGGCCATCATGCCACCGCTTGTTGGCTGTGGTTGCAGTGAGGGATTTTTACCGCACTAAAACCTTCTTGGCCCTATTCCCCCGGGACCACCTGTCGTATTACTTCGTAGGGGACTGTGCATTACGCACCTCACTTTACCTCCTAGCGTCGTGTTCTACTCGGTTAACCCGGTGCGATGGATTCAGCCTACTACCACTCCGAGTTCTCCTGGCTTCGTCTTTCACTTCGCACTTGCATTACTACTTTCTAGCTGGTCTCCTCGCCATTTTCGCTGCAGCGCTGACATGATCTGCGTTACTGCTCTGCTGACGGCATTAAAGGTGCCCTGCTATCGACACATTTCTTCGACGACATTCTCCGCGCTAAGGGCGAGCATCTCCTCTCGCACACCATCAAATCTAGGATACTCGAAGACCACGTGCTCTTTTGATTCTTCCACATTCCCACACTCCGGACAGAAGGGTGACGTTGTGTGTCCGAACCGATGCAGGCACTTCCTGAAGCAGCCATGACCAGACAGGAACTGCGCCAAATGGAAGTTGACTTCTCCTTGCTTCCTGTTTACCCAGGTCGAAAGAATCGGTATTAGCCTGTGTGTCAATTTACCGTTCTCCGCTGCATCCCACTCCTGCTGCCACATCGACACCGTTCTCGCCACTTTTCGTACTCCTCTGGTTTCTCTCCTCACACAGAACCCGTAGTCCTCCGCCAAGGTGATGCCGATTGAGATCATACCGGCGATAACGCATACTGCCTCCGTTGAAATGGTTCTGTACGCACTCACGACTCGCATGGCCATGAGCCGGAACGTACAGCTCAATTTCATTTGGTTCTGCTTCGTTTTCAGCCCTTCAATCCAGGCTGGACCTCCGCATCTTAGTATCGATGAGGACACACTAGCCAGAAGACGCCTCTTGCTGCTGCTTGGACCAGAATTGTTCGGCATGATTCTGGCTATTGCGTTGATGGCCTTCGCCGCCTTCTCGCAAGCATATTCGATGTGGCTGTTAAAGTTTAGCCGGTCGTCGATCATCACCTCCAGATACTTCAGCACGCGATTCGAAACAATGGTGTGCTCTCCAACGGTGATTTCTGCACGCTGCACTGCTTTGCAGTTACTAACCAACATCACTTCTGTTTTGTGGTGGGCTGCAAGCAGCTTCGCTCCTTGCGTCCAGTTACCAATCGTATCTATCGCCTCGGCCGCCAGACGACATCGTCCGCAAAGCCAACGATCTCATCTCCTTTGGGCAGCTTGAGCATCAGCACGCCATTGTAAATTCCATTCCATAGCGTGAGACCTAGAATGGAGCCTTGTGGAACTCTCGCCGTAATTCTAAGCGATTTCTGCCCCGTGTCTGTCGCGTAGACCAGGACCCGGTTCTTGAAGTAACTACTTAGAATCCTGCAGAGGTAGTCTGGAACCCTCATTCTATGGAGCGCCTTGGCGATGGCCTCCCAGCTAGCGCTATTGAATGTATTCTTCACATCAATTGTAATGACGACGCAGTATCGATTTCCTCTCCGCTTCTGTTTGGAAGCTTTTTTGGCTCTGTCAATCACTATCCGAATTGCATCCACCGTCGATCTCCCTTTACGGAATCCAATCTGCCTCTCCGACAATCCGTGTTCACTCTCCGTGCATTTCGTCAACCTGTTCAGGATGATCCTATCCAAGATCCCCCGGCGGTTTTCCGGGCTTCGGCAACAGCACAAGCTTTTGTACCTTCCACCTATCAAGGAACTGACCCTCGTCCAGACATTTCTGCAGCACTATCTCGAACATGTCTGGGAACGTCTGGATCGCCGCCTTCAACGCCACGTTGGGAATTCCATCCGGGCCGGGAGCTTTCTTCGCCTTCAACCCTTTCGCTGCTGCTAGGAGTTCCTTGTTGGAAACTTGTTCAACGTTGCCTCCATCTTCCTCGCCATATAATTTAGGTGGCCAGGTCATTGGATCATGCTGTGGGAAAAGTCCTTCCACGATGACTTTCAGCTTGTTTGGACACATTTCAACAGACATCGTTGGACCTCTGATCTTCGCCATCGCGACTTGGTATGCGTTGCCCCAGGGGTTGGCATCGGCGTTTCGACACAGCTCCGTGAAACTGTTTGACATGCTCAGTTTTATCTTTCGTTTTAGTGCAGCCTCCTCTCTGTCTGTTTCAGTTCTTGCTCTCTGAACGTACCTTCTGGCTAGAAGATAAGTAGCACGGAGGCTCCAGTTTTCTCGGCATAGTTGTGTCACATTGCTAATGATTTGGTCAACTCATTTGCGCTTAGACCCGGGACGCTGCTGTCTACCCTTACCCGATGAAGAGATCCTTATTAAATGCCTTCGTCTTCCACTTCCGCTCGATTACTTTCGTCCTCCGCATTTCCACCGGTGTCCGTTCGCCGATACTGTACCACATCGCCTGACGGTCACTATGGGTGAACTCTTCGCACACTCTCCAGTTCATACTTGCCACTAGTGACGTACGGCAGAAAGTGACGTCGATAATGGATTCTCTACCATCTTTGCGAAAGGTGCTGATGATTCCTAAGTTGGCCAGACTGACGTTCAACTTTGCCAGAGCTTCCAGCAGTGTTGGTACACCTGCTCCCCCAATCCACTACCCAAGCATTGAAATCTCCTGCGATGACGACTAATCTCCGTTCAATGAGCTCTCCGATCCAGCATCTGGTGGAACTGCTCAATTGTCCATCTCGGGGGTTCGTAGCAACTACATACATAGATTCCATTGATTTTGGCGATCACGAAACCTTCGTATGAGCCCGCCACCACTTGTTGAATTGGATACCTGCCCATGACCTTGTATGGCCGCCATTCCTGCTCTATCCGCCACCCAGTTACCATTCTCGAGAGGGACTCGATATGGCTCTGCAATGATAGCAACGTCGCACTTTGTTTCCGTTGTCAACTGCCACAACAGTTGCTGTGCAATGATTGAGATTTATTTGGGTATTATTGTTGGCCCACCATTGCCTTCTTGAACTCTGGGCACCTGAAACTTCCCGTCACATGGCCGTTTTCGTCCTCCTTTTTGCAGAGCATGACCTCGGTTGCTTCGTTCAGTCTTTTGCAACGTGCCTCTTCTCTCCGCATTTCATCTGTCAGGGCCCTTTGAAGTTTCTCGCCTGGTGACCAAAGCCCATGCACTTGAAGCATCTCTCCATTTTCTTAGACACCCGAGGAATAGCTTTCAACGGGCACACTGATCACCCAACCTTGATTCTTTAGCAGCTCGCCAGCTGCGTCCGAAGAAAGTCGTTTCGACGCCGTCTGTGTGCCACCATACGCCTTCCTCAACCGAATTGCCATCGACACGTCTGCCATGTTGCATTGCACCTTCAGCGCACTTTTCAACTCGTCTACCGTTGTGATCTCGTCCAGATCCATGCACTCGATCATTGACTCCTGGGATAAGCCTCTTACGTTAGCCGTCTCGCCAAGAGATTTTTCGACGAGCTCCTTAAAAGCTGCGCCCTTAACCGTAGGGTCTCTGTTCAGCTCAAATAGTATCTCGCCTTTCTGGGTTCAGCTGGTTATCACCACGTTCTCGCCTAGTTGTTTCAACTCCGGATCCTGTCTATCTGTCTTTTGTTTGTCCGATCTACCTGCCTGTCTGTCTGTATGTTTGACTGTCTGTCAGACTACTGTACTGCTGGAGTGCTGGACTAATGGATTGACGGACTGTTAGAATATCGTTTGCTGATCTGTCTGCCTGTCTGTCTGTTGGTTTTTCGGACTGCTGGACTTCCAGATTATCTGTCTGTCTGTCGAACTGCTGGACTATTGCAATTCCGGACTGCCGTACTGTTGAACTGTCTGATCTGCCTGTCTGTATGTATGTCAGTCTTTTGTACTATTGGACTGCCGATGATCCGTTTGTCTGTCTGTCTACCGCTCTTCCGGAATTGTGAACTGACAGACTACCGAACTTCCGGACAGCCGGTGTACCAATTTGCTCGTCTGTCAGTCTGTTTGTCTGTCTGGCTGGCTTTCTATCTACCGGTCATCGGGACTGCTGGCCTGCAAGCCTTTCGGTCTGTTTGTCTACTGGTCTACCGGTCATTCTGGACTGCCGGACAGCCATTGTACCGATCTGCTCGTCTATCAGTCTGTTTGTCTATCTTGCTTACTATCTATCTACCAGCCTTCCGGACTGCCAGACTGCCGGACTGTCAGGCTGTTTCTGTTAACCGTTAGTTTTTCGATCTACTGGACTGCTTGACTGTTGGATTATCGATTTGCTTGCCTGTCAGGCTTTCTGCTAATGGCGGTATGTCTGTCTATCTACTGGTATGCCGGTCTGTATGTATGTCCGTCTGTTTGTATGCCGGACTACTTGACTGCTTAACTGTTTGGCTGTTGGATTGCTGGATTGCTGGTCTACTGAAATGTTGTACTGCTGACAGCGTTGTTAAAATATCAAAAGATCAAATCTCACCAATGAGCACGATCTCACTTGATTTTCGTAGACAAGAATCAACAAGCAAACAACTGCGGATGATATTACAAGCTTAGGTACGGTAGCTCTGAACATCAAGCAAATAAAACTCACCAACTACAATTCTCATCAAACTATGGTGAGTTTGAGTTGAAAATTTTTGCTTTACACCCGAACAGGAACCGAAACATTCACCACTGCTGGCAACAGTAACTTCATGTTTACCATCTGTGAAGAGTAAAGAGAGATGATGCTTTCTCTTTCTACGAAAACGATGTGCAATGGAATCAGTTTTGTGTTGAGTCTACTCGCAGCTGCATTTTTACATGTTGGGGTTAGTCTCGCAATATCAAAGGAGCTTGTAAAATCAATATCATGCGCGATGTTTTGTTCCAATATCACGCGTGATATTAAGAGCCTATGAGAGCGTAAAAAAATCATTTGAGTGGATGATTATGCCATCACTGACTGCCGGACTGTCGGTCTGTCTGTCTGCCTGAATGCTGTTCTGTAGGTCTGTATGTATTTCTGTCGGTTTGACCTGTCTGTAAAGTCAGTCATGGCAAAGTGGTCCAGGAAAGCAATCTGGAGAGCAAAAACAGTAATATCTTTTGGTAAACAAACATTTGTATGAGAAGGTGCGTTACGGTGTTAGATCTTCCACATCGAACTCTGGCCCTAAGCTCTTCTTGTTGCCGGTTATGAACCTCAGTTTTGAGAGTATCCGAGACACTGAGCTTGGAAACAAGGGTAGGTTTCGACCACGGTTCTGATGCATGGTGAAATATCGGTATCGACGCTTGTTTTTTTATCACTGAGAAGACCTAATTTGATTGATAAGAGGACGCGTCTGTGGGAAGGTTGTAGGACTTTTTTTTTTAATACGGAGCATTACAATTCAATAAAGATTCTCTTGAGAGGAGCGACTATGCATGATAATAAAACATTAAATCGACAAATACTGCTTGAAATGGACACATATATTGGTAAAACTAGAAGAATCTCTGCATTTTGCAATCATATAAATATGACCATAAATCATGTTCTCAAAGTTGGTGCACAGGTAAAAAGTGGGGTTAAGCCCAAGTAAGAATTTTGGTAAGTCCAAGGAACAATTTTGGTTTTATGAGGGTTCTCGAGACCATGATTTAGACTTGTAGAATGCTTTAAAACCTCGATAAAACTTGCAATGTTACTTGGGAGTAATGCCACTGATTTGATTTGATACAATAAACATGAAATAAACATAAATCTTGTGATGGATTTTATATTACTTAGTTGTGCTCAAAGAACATTAATTTGAGAGGCGGCGTAAAGTCCTAGTGGTCAGAAAAAGTGAAAGAAAAACTGATATAGGGGAAATGGTTCTAATGGTTCTATTGTTGCTATTTATCAATTTTATCTAGATGAACGCGTCATTGGAATGGTACTTATAGATATTTTTGGTCGCTATTGAAAATTTAGTCGATTGCTGAATTTATGCATGGGCCCAAATTAGGGGCATTCAGGCCGACATTACATCCATTTCCCCTACCAATTGTGCAAATCATATTCACCAAAAGATGGTGCATTATGTACAAAGAAACTTTTCAATAGAAACCAAGTCAAGTTAATTCCTTCGTTCTGAAATAAACAATTTTGGCCGGCCTGGACCTTTATAACCCACTGTGCATGATGGACTATACTCAGTATTGAATTTTTGGGCAGTATTTGACCTATTTTTGCATCTAATTTTATCTCTCTACGATAAAGTCTGCCTGTTTCGTTCCATCTTGTTCGATATCTGTGGAGGCGAAACTGACATTTTAGGTTAGGCCTCCGCAAGTAACACGATGGGTATCTGTCCAGATCTTCGAAGGATTCGCAACACAGCAAAAAAATAATTTTGATATCACATCAAAGTGGATGCACTACAATCATGTCGAAAATTTCATGTAATTTTTATGACCACATAAATAAACAAATGCAGTAAAAGCATCGTAATGTCAGTTCATGCATTGTATTAATGATAATTTTGTCCTTTTTAGCAAGTAATATTACACCATATTTTCGACATGATTGTAGTGCATCCACTTTGACGTGATATCAAAATTATTTTTTTGCTGTGAAGTATGATAAAACATTACATCTTCTTCGCAATGAACATGAAACACAGGTTCAATCAGTAATATCAGTTTTACCTCCGCAAGTAATCATCTAAGAGGAACGAAGCTTACACGTGACATCAAGTGAAATCAAATGCGTTGCTTCCGATTAAGCCAACTGCCTAGATCAGATATCCAGTCTGGACAAACAATAACTTTCCCACGCCAAACGTTCCCTCTGTCGTAGAATTACTCTAATCAATTTATTCCAATGAATAGACCGTTTGTCTTCAATTATCAATCAATCTTATTCATTCGGTATGCAAACTGTTTTCACATTGACGAACGACGCAAAAACAAAAATGTGCCAACGAGGCTGCTAGCACAAATTAATTAACTGTAAATAATTGCCTCCGACCTAATTTCGCTTCCTGCTACACAAATCCAATAATCCCCATCCCTTTCCACAGAAACAATCAACTGTCGGTAATGCCGCGCGAAATTTGCTTCCTTCCGCTGCAAGTGCTGCTCGTGTCCAACAATCGGCTCGTGACGCTACCGGACGAGCTCGGCCGGATGGAGGAACTGACCGAGCTCGATGCCGCCTGCAACCAAATTACGCACCTTCCTCCCCGGATGGGCGATCTGCGGAACCTCCGGTCGCTCACCCTGCGCAACAATCATCTCGTCTATCTGCCTCGGGATCTCACCTGCCTGCAGTTAGTGTTTCTGGACATTAGCAGCAACAAGATTGCCACCCTGCCGGTGGAGCTTCGACTGATGAGTTCGCTGGTCGATCTGGAACTGTCGAACAACCCGCTTACCTCACCGCCGGCCAGTGTAAGCTGTTGCTTCTGCCTGTTTCAAAGTTTGGACGTGTGACTGTTCTTCTTATTGATTTATTTTCGAATTACAGCTTTGCGTCCGAGGCTTGGTGCACGTGTTCAAATACCTGGAAACAGCGGCAGCCAAAGAGGAAAAATCCAAATGCGGTCTGGATGGTCACGCGACCCTGCGGCGGTCGGCACTGACTTCGAAAAACTCATCCGGAAGCCTACTGGACGGTACACGAAATCGACGGGCCCATGTCGATTCCGGCTACAGCACCAGCGACGGTGGATTCGATGGTAAGCGTTGGTCCCAGGACGATCCGCACGATTACGGCACCTGTTCACCCAAGTGGTCACCCATTCCAATGCACACTGGTTTCGCTGGCAAACCGCCTCCAGCATCAACAACGGCACTGCTTCCTCCCTCGGCCGGTTCCGGTTATTCTAATCTGTTATCATCTGCAGGTGGAAATGGTCTTTCAGGTCTGCTGGGCAGTGAATATCACGGCGGAAGCGGCGGTGGCGGTGGAACGCTGGAAGAGGAATTCCGCAAGGGCTGTGCGCTGCTGGATCAGCAGGAGAGGAAAAAGCTGGCAAATAACAACAGGTTTGAGTGATCGCTTTGGTCGATTTCCTTAGGATTTAATTAAATTATTTCTTTTTCCAGCAACGACATTTCGCCGGAAGGTGATCTAACGCCGGACAGCTTGAAGGCTGACGAAAAGATGCGATCGCTAGGGAATATTCAAACTTACAGGTTTGTCAAAATATCATTCATTCTTCTCAAACCGCAAATTTAAACCATATTTTGCACCCCTCAGGGAATACAAGGAAGCACTTCGTCAGCAGCGCAACCAGATCGACATCTACCGACCCAAAGAGCAGCAGCAAATCCAAACACCGGACAGTGGTGGATCCACCGGCGATTCCCCTCTCAGCAACTTCTCTCCCTACAATAAATCCCAAGCCACAACCCCATCGCCATCCGTATACAGTAGCAGCAACCAAAGTTCCCCCCTCTCTCCTCACCACAGCAACATCCACAAACTGAACCAAATCAACGCCAATAGCAATCACAACAATAACAACAACAACAACAACAACAATAATGGTTTCAATCCAGCCGCCCCCAGTTCTAGTCCTCTGCTGTCGCCCAACCGAATCATTGTGGCACCGTTTGAAGAGTCCAACAGTAGCACCAGTTCGACGCCGAACAAACGACCGGTCCAGAAGGTGATTCCTTCGCGCAACATTACCTCAACATATCAAACCAGCCAATCGCCGACGCATCTCAACGGAAATCATACGACCGCGGTCAGCAACGGGAAAATACCCATCCCCAATGGGACCCCGGTGAAGACGGCCGTTTCCAACAGTAGCTGCGCGGAATACGCCTACGTGAAGCCCAACAGCCCGTGCAAGGCATCCAGTGGCATCCTGACGCATAACAATGTTCCTTCTTCGATCCCGAAACCGACGGTGAACGGTGCTAGTTCACCGTCGGCGAACGGAAATCAGAAACCGCTAACGGCAACCGTTGGCTACGTGAACAATGTCAAACCGGGACAGAAAACGAATAAGTAAGTTCCCTGTCAATGGGTTGGCAAAGTCTGAAAGGTTCGATAAATCTTGATTCTTTTTTTTTTTGTAGAACTGTCTCTTGGAATCGGGATGTACCGACGGATAAGTTGAGCTTCACGATGCGGCGGGAGTTCGATAAGCAGAAGGAGGAAACCGAACTGATTGATCAGCTTCGACAGGTTGGTTATCCTGGAAGTTGTGCCCCTTGTGGCAAGGGATTATCATATTTTTTCCACTATTTCACAGATCATCGAGACGCGTTTGAAGATGACCCTACCGGAGGATATTGCACCGGCGTTGACGGATGGCGTCGTGCTGTGCCATCTGGCGAACCACGTACGGCCCCGTTCGGTTGGCAGTATACACGTGCCCTCGCCGGCTGTGGTAAGATTGTTTTACATATGTACATGCATTTATATTTATTTCACGGAACATAAGATTCACATCTTTTTAACGTTACACAGTATTGAACTGTACTACAAGTGCGCTTCACATACAAAAAAAAATCACTTTTGGGAATTTTGATATCAAGATTTTGTTCTTAAACAAAGTAATCAAGATATCTCTTTTTAAATACTGCTATTATTTACTGTATAATACTGTTAATCTGAGTCACTCGATGGGAGCTCATTCCAATATACAACCCCTCTAACGAAAAAAGTAGAAGGATCTATGCCTAGAGGCACGAATGGAAGCTTGACGTAGGACCGCTAGTGGACGGAACAAATATGATTGTCATTTAGTTCTTAACTCTTTCCGTTTTTGAATTAGTGGCCCTGAAAAGATACAAATCACTCTAAAAAAATCAAGATTCAGGATTTCGAGGTCTTTTAAATAGATAAATTCTTTAGAAAACAAACTTAAGTCATTCTTCAAGATTCTAAATTATGAACAAACTATTTCTGAACTTCAAATGAACTCAAAGTATATTTACGACGATCCGCAATAAGATCATACTATAGAATTTATACAGATTTTTGTCAGCCAGAAACAGATTAAAAAGATGTTTTACGGTGACAATACAGATTGAAATTAGAAATAATGTGACAACAGCAAAACGTAACAAAACATTGAGGTACTTTTTAGAAAATTCATTATGGATCCCCTTGGAACCCCCTATTAATTGTATATGTAATAGTAGACTAGACGATGCTGAACAAAATAACGTTGAGATTAGCTGCTAATACCTGTTAACATGCAAGAAACACCCCCTTACAGATGGCGTTAAAAAATATAAAAAAAGACTAAAATCCTTAAAACAAAAAAATTAGTGATTTGTTTTTTTGCAGCAACAATGTGCAGTTTTGGAGCACTTAAAACTTTGTAAAACATTGAAAAAAAAAATGTGAAATTCAAACTAAAAAGTTATGGTAAAAAACGGTTTTCAAGGGGGTACTACCGTTTGTACTCCATTTTCACCCTATAACTTTGTCCACTTGAGAGATAGAAAATTGACGTCTTGGATAAAGTTCCTTAAAATGACATCATCTACAATGTTTCCATAGATGATCATCAACTTCAACAATACATTTTTTTTTTATCTAAGTGTATACCCCCCTTAAGCAAAAAATTTTACCACTACAATAAAGTATTTGAAAATTGAAGAAACATTTTAGAAGGCATCAAAATGCTTCACTCAATAGTTTCGTCGCAAATGGCCATGTCCCTCTTTTTTTTATGATTTCGTCCCACTGTACCACGGTAGAAAATGCAATTTTTCAACTTATTCGCTATATTTCGAATTGACCACGGCGGGTTTTTGACGTGGGTGTGCAGGATAAATTATCTTTTCTCATCTTCCATCTAGTACGACTTTTGACGTAGGACTACGTCTGTGATTTCTGTATGGGGGTACACTTTGTGAAAACCGAAAATGGAACATGTAACGAAATTATGAAAGATTTTGAACGTGAATAACTCAGCTGCCCCTGTATCAATTTCAATAATTTTATCGCCAATTGATCAGAAATATTTCTACGCATCGATAACAATGCTTTCGACTATTGAAAAAGTTGTAAATGTCTAGCATTTTTCAAAAGTGTCGAAATAACTAACAAATACGCCAATTACGTAAATGCATATGCTGCTTCCCCAACACAGTCATCAAATAATCATTTATAGACGAAACATGTCGATGTAGCATTGCTGCTTACCCAACAGAAAGTCGTTAATAGATGAAACAAGTCGAAGTGGCATTCGCCTCCGATCTTCGGGCGTATGCGAATAGGGAGAATGCAATTGCGTAACATTTTGCACACTCATCGCCATATTCAGAGCCACACGCCTACAACGACCACACCAACTGCTCTCCAGAGTTGTATCCAAACTTGGAAGCAAGGGTGCAAGTGATTTTGATCGACTTTATCGACTTTCCGTTTCGTTAATGATAGAAGAGCATAGCAGAAATAGTGCGAAATAGGTTAGTGAAGCCATAGTCATCAAAAGAGGAAATCGATGAAGAGAATTGACTTTCACCCTTCTGCTTCTAAGCCCTTTAATAAAATGGGAGGAGCTTTAGCACTGATATTATACCAGCTGTGTCTATACAACGCATAATTTAGTGTAGTAAGGCACAGCAGATGAAGTGTATGATAAAATACCCAAAATTAGTGGGGCATGATTTTCTAGCTTTCGAAAAATGATTATTTTTCATGTCCGATTGACAAGCGACAAAACCGTAAAAAAGGATCAACTTCAACTGATATGCCTTTAATTGTTGCTTTTGTCCATACAGTAGCTGACCGAAGCTCCTCCCATTTGGTGGTGTCGTTAGCATCTAGTGTATCGCCGAATCTATGTGTGGAAGAAGAACCATCGCGACCAAGGGCGTAGCCAGGTTTCGAGCTAGGGAGGGGCGAAAAAAATTACTATGGAAAGTTTGGACGAATGCCATTTCACCGAAAGCCTTTGTGTTGCTGAGTTTATGGGGTGGCAGTTGCCCTCCCCTTCCCCCTCTGGCTACGCCTATGATCGCAACAATCAGCAAAACGGTACCAACCAAGCTTCTAATCCTTAAGCAACTGGGCCGACACTCTTCTGAGTGCCCATTTCTTGTAGCAAAGTTGAGGTATCCTTCGCTGCGCCTTTCCAACCACCGGGTAAACCCGAGTCCAGCAGTAGCCGAGCCGGGATTCTTCTAAGGCTCTGAACCATTTGGTGGATTATTTTAACTTTTGGTTAAAATTTGACAGATGGAAAGTTATCGATTAACCCTGCCATCCGAGCGGGGTTATTTCTGACAGACAAGAAGTTACATGTTGACAACCGTGGCTGAGTTCTTCTCGAAAACCGGTCGATCGACAGCACAGGGATTTTCGAACATCAAGAATAACTTTCGAAATGTCACTTTTAACCACGAGTTAAATTTAACTCGGCAAATGATTCACAGCCTAAGTGCCCATTCGTCGTTGAGATATCCTTCACTGCGTCCTTCCAACCCGTCGCAGCCACCTAGTCAACCCGTGTCCAGCAGCAGTCGCGCTGACACTCTTCCGAGTGCCCATTCATCGTAGCAAGGTTGAGGTTTCCCTCGCAGCCTTCCAACCTGTCGCAGACACCTGTTTCACCCCTGTCCAGTAGCAGACGGGCCGAGAATCTTGCAAGTGCGCAATCATTGAACTGAAGAATATGGGATTATCCGGTCCGATTTGCTGATCCAGCTGCCTACACGTCATCATCATCTGCCAAAGGTTTTAATCCTGTACTACCATCGGCCCTTTTCAGGGCCACAAAGAATTTCCAAACGAGTTAAATCTCTGAACATGTCTCAACTAAAATTCATATCAAAAGGTTCTTTTCAGGGCTGCACGTACCGAGACAAACCGTTCACCACTGAAACACGTGTACTTTCAAAACAAATCGCTGTCAAAACACTCCAAATCCGACCACTAGAGGCGCTGCTATAGAATAAACAAAATTTCCGGATTCTAAGTGGACTAGACTTTATAGTAAAAATTAAAATCAAACGGGAGTTCCACGGGTATTTTAGGAGCAAACATAGAGAATGCCAAGGAATATTGAATAGGAATTGTGTGGAGAGTTACAGATGAATTACGCGGTTGGTGCAACTTGCGGTTTCGTAAAGTGCGGTTTTCGTGAACAGGTGGTTCTAATTATTTCGCCAAGTTAGTTTTTGAACATTTATCAGTTGAATAATCATCGAAACCATGAATAAAACATTAATTTCAGTGAACAGTGACGAAATTTATCGTGTAGCGTCATCGGTTCATTATCCAAGCCTACCCACCAGGAATTCTGAGGGGAATTCCAAGGTAATTCTTAGGAGATCTTGAATGCAATTCCATTCAGTAATCCAATACAATTCCTATGAGAATTTCAAGGAAGCTTAAAGTGGAATTCCATGAGAACTCTGAAGATTGTTTTAAGGAATGTAAGGAATTTAAGTTTTGGAGGAATACTTAGAAGCTGCTGAGGAGAATTCCAAAAGAATCAGTAGAATTCTGAGGAGAAGATCAAGGTAATTCTGCTGAAATTATTAAAAATTCAAAGCGAATTGCAGAGTAAGGTCTGTATCCAAATTAATCCGGACACCTTCAAATCACTGTAACTGTTGAAATATTTCAAGTAGGAGTGAAACATTTCGCTGAGGTATAGCTGGGAGACATTGATGAAAAAGACTATGATTGGTGTTTACATTCCATGTTTGCAAGTCCTGACTTGTCAATCCGGGAACTTGCAAAAACAATTGGATTAACCTAAATCCACTGTTCACGGTGTGCTCAAATCATTTCCGGAACGTTTGACGGTCAAGAGGAAACCGAGAAGTGCTGATCCTGTCATGGACCGAAAGGTGATGAGAATATTGGAGGAAAACCCGAATCTCTCTGTTCGAAAGATGGCTCATAAAATAGGAATGTCACCTGGTTTTGTTCAAAAATCAAAACAGCGTTTGGGGCTGAAGTCGTCTAAAGTTCCAAATCGCAACGATAAACAGAATTTGACAGCAAAATCACGGGCTCGACGTTTGTGCTGCGAATATTTGACGAAGTTTTCATGCGTTGTTATGGACGATAAAACTTATGTCCTGGAAGATTTCGAGCAGCTTCCAGGGCTGGCATTCTATTCTGCTATGGCCAAAAATGCTACAGCTGAGTATTTCATGCCGAAGAAGGCATCGAAATTTCCAGAAAAATACCTTATTTGGCAAGCAATTTGCACGAGTGGCCGAAAGAGTAAATCTTTCATCACTACAGGCACAATCAACAAGGAGATTTACCAGAAAGAGTGCCTGCAGAAGCGATTGCTACCCTTCATCAAAAGCCACAAATAAAACCCTTTATTCTGACCCGATTTGGCATCATGCCATTATGCTGAAACTGTGATGGTGTGGTACGAAGCAAATCAAGTGAATGTCGTACCAAAGACCGCAAATCCACCAAATTGTTCAGAGTTACGTCCAATCGACATACATTGGGCTCTGATGAAGCGAAGGCTTTCTGGAAAGAAACAAGGAGTTAAAGATATCATACACTTCCAACAAATTTGGACAAAGACCCACGGTATCTGAGGAGTCTGTAAAAACCCTAATGGATGGAGTTAAGCGCAAAGTTCGATAATTTTATGCAAATACGGAATAGCTATGCTTTAACTTCGGGAATTTTTAAATCTTATCCTATGAATCTGAAATAAACAACTAATGAAATATAATGCGAAATTTCCCTCAGGGCTCGAGGAAAACAACCAGCGATACCCGTTAGAGATGTCTTGGCGAGCCGAGATCTCGACTATTTGAGTTTAATTTATGTGTTTTTAAAACGGATAGATCTGAGGATTTAGTAGTACGGTGTACCCCCATGTTTGTCTTTTTTTTTATCAGTATGTCGCTTAGTTCGAGAACAAGAGCACATTGCCCTCCAAACCTTGTGTTCTCAACCCCTACCCTGCCATCCATTTGATACAATTTGTTACCCCTAACCTCGAGATAGCCGCGAGTAATCGGTCCCCGCTTTACTAACGTTAGTTTTAGGTAATTTTGTTATCTAAATAATTAATATCGGCTCCGCAAAGCTACACCAAATGAGCCTGGAAAAATAAACACATTATTTAAAAAAAGGGGAATTTTGTGTTTTACCTAAGTTTTGATGGGTCCGGATTATTGTGGATACAGATTTTAAATATAAAAAGTTATCGGTAGATAATTCCTAAAGGTTTCTGATGAAAATTATGAGGGTATTACCTTAACACTCGAAGTCCCAGTAAGATGATATAAAGAAATTTTTGAACAAATCTCAACTTTAGGAGATCTAAGATTTTAAACAATTTGCGATATTTAGCACTCAGTAAACATTTTTAATTGCAGACTTGTAGAAACAAATTAAACATTCTGAGACTTTGAAATAATGTTTCATCACAGACAAACAGACGTAACTTTTTGAATAAGTTTTTCTTTAAAACATTGTACCTTAATAAAAAGGACATTCAGTAACGACATCTCTCGAGAACAATGTTGCATGCAAGCTAAACAGAATATATAGAAACGTCAAAATGATCCGATGCTAGCGCTGCGGTGAGCAGTTCGCGGAATTTATAATATTCAAATTAGTCGTTAAATGCGTGAACGATGATCCAGAATGAAGAGTTACGTCTGTTTGTCTGTGGTTTTATAGCAGTTCACTCGAGGGGCAAGCACTTGTTTTTCAATACATTATTTAAAATTATTTGTCATTACATAAATTATCGTTATTATTTTTGAATTACTTTCAATACCGCTTAAAGTATTTAAATTCAAATCATTACTGTCTTCAAAGTATTTAAATTACTACGATGTATTTTAAATATCACGCACTTATATCTGGAAGGGCGTGCCCCTCGAGTTCACTTCCTGTGAAATATGTTCCCTTTATTCGGGACTTTGTCCCCTCTATTTTGAAACCTGGCTACGGCCCTTGTTCATAATTGCCATTTTTTAAAAGCTGATTAAAGTACATTCAATTTTGTACTTCAAAATCTACATCATTTTCCAATCATCAAAAGTCTTCACAAAACATGAAATGTCCTCAAAAGTCTACGGACAATAAAAGTCCTCACAGAATTTCAAATGTCTTCAAAATAAAGACATGTCTTAAAATTTGACATCCCTGTTCAGAACTTGCTAGATAGTAGTAGAACATATACACTAAAACCTTCATTTACAAACCAAACCGGGGTTCGTAAATCGAATTACTATGAAAAATACCTCGTTATTTGGGATTCACTTAGTAAAAAGAGGTTTTTGAAAACCTTGTATTTGTAGGAACCGGAAATCCAAGTCTGACGCCATTTGGTAATTCAAGATGGCGGCATCTCTTTACAGAACAGCTGGGAAATACTGTCAAATACCCCTCAATATGGGACTTTTTGTAATCTGGGTAACGTGTAGGGACCGGAAATTGATGTCTGATGCCATTTTTAAATCCAAGATGACGGCTTCCAGTTACAGAAAAACTTGGAAATTCTGTCAAATACCCAACAATATGGATATTTTTGAAATCGGGGTGACGTATAATTACTGAAAACCCATGTCTGACGCCATTTTGAATTTCAAAATGGTGGCTTCCGGTTACATAAAAACAGAAAAATACTGTTAAATACCCAATAATATGGATATTTTTGGAATCGGGAAACTAGTGAGAAACGGAAATCCATGTCTGATCAATATGGCGGCATCAGGTTACAGAAAAACGGGGAAATACTGTCAAATACCCCAAAATGTGGTTATTACTAGAACCTGGGTGACGTGTATGAATTGGAAATACATGTCTGACCCCATTTTGAAATTCAAGATGGTGGCATCCAGCCACCATCTTGGATCAAAATGGCGTCAGACATCGATTTCCGATTCCTACACGTCACCCCGATTCCAAAAATACCCATATTGTGGGGTATTTAATAGAATTTCTAAGGTGTTCTCTAACAAGAAGCGGCCATTTTGGATTTAAAAATGGCGTCAGGCATCAATTTGTGGTTCCTACACGTCTCGCATATTCCAAAAATACCCATATTAAGGGATATTTGACAGAATTTCCAAGCTTTTCTGTAACCGGAAACCACCATCTTGAATTTCAAAATGGCGTCAGACATCGAATTCTGGTTCCTATAATATGAAACAGAGCCTAGTATCCTAATATCTAATACTACAAGCATTTTTAACACATTCTCTTCATATTTTTAGCCGAAACTCACAATGGCCCGATGCCGCCGGAATGTGGACAATTTTCTCGATGCCTGCCGCAGGATTGGCGTTGACGAGGTGAGTGTCTTTATACCTTGCACCTAGTAGTTTGAACAAAGTGTTTGCGATTTCTTGATTTTCTCGTGGTAGAAGTAGAAGTTGATGGAAACAAGTTTATTTTTAGTTGCTCCAAATACCCTATCTCTATATGGTTTTGATTTTCTCTGTGTGTATCTTCTTTAACTTGTCCTCGGATTAGTCCTATCTCTATCGATCGAATTGGATCTAACTGATTTCTTCTAAGAAGCACAAAACTTTTATTTTCAAAAAAAAAAATCTTTCATAACCGTGGTAGGGTCTAGAACTAACATCACTCAAAGACTAACACACTACTTACTACTACTCTTAAGAGTTGTTGGTGTATAATCTCATAGGACTTCAACTCGGAAAATTGTATACCACATTGTACATGCAATCGAAGCGCTATGCATTAGAAATAGGGATGGCTTTTTATTCACATTCTGTACCTTTCATTCGATTACGTATACGTTGTACATAGTTTTCAAAGAGGAAGGTTCTTTGTCTCTCTTCTGTTGTGTATTGTATAGTTATAACTAGCCATTTGCCTAGGGCCTAAGCTGAAAACTCGTTCTGACCATGCGGAACTAACTCTCTCTCCTGTTGTTATTGGTGTTGGTTGCAGGAGTTGATATGCTCCTGTCAGGACATCGTGCCACCATCCCCACCACCACCACCACCATCATCCTCAGCGACTGCGGAAGATCTGGAACAAGCGCCAACCGAACCGGAAGTGGACCTAGTCCAGCCTCCGAACGCACCGGCAATGTTTCGTACCGTCATTGCTCTGCTAAATCGGGCCGAACTAATGGCTCACGGTCCTGTGCATCGTCCTACATCTCCTCCCCCACCTCCACCGCCATCAGTCACGACCAACAACAACAACAGCAACAACAACAACAACACTGGACAACCAAGCACACTCACTGCAGCCAACACCAATACAACAACAACAACAGCAGAGGCAGAAAGAGACCCAGGCGAGGAGCCGAATGGTAATTACCACCGAGCTTCCCCGAATCCCTTGCATTGCTTTGCTAACAACCACATGCTACGTAACACTTCCACCCCGAACACCAAAGGCACTAAAACACTGCTAGAGTATCACTTTGATCATGAGGAAGAGGCACTGGTGGCCGAGCGGGAAGATGTTATGAGAGTTCAGGCTAGACTTAGGGCTGTTAGTGCTAGTGAGAGTGAGGTTCATCGACACGCGGCGGCTTCGGTGGACGGAGCATGTGGCGGAGGAGGAGTGGGAGATGCAAGGAACGTCCCGGCTTCGCTGGATCTCAGCGTTGGAAACGACGGCGGCGCTGGGCGCAGGAAGCGCAAGTTTCCCAGCACAAAGTTCAGCAACGGCAAGAGGCAGGAGCAGTCCGGAGGTAGTTTGAACGAAATTGTCGAAGAGTGCGAGTACGATAGCGACATAGGCAAGTTCCGATGCCGACAGGGCGATGAATATGAGGATTCGGAGTCCAGCGTGAACTCGCTGGATGAGGAAACGTTCACGCCGACGAATGCCAATCAGGGTATAAACGATCTGAACAGCACCCCGACCGGTACCGGACCGGAGCCTTCGAAGGATGTGCTGAATTTCAACATCAACTCGGAGGAGAACGATCCGACCGTGGCGGGAAGGAAGATTGTCAGCAAGAGGATCGAATTTTGGGAAAGCAATGCAGGCAGCGGCGACAAGATTGTCAACAGTTCGCTGAGAAGAAGCATTAGCGAGGAGGACAATGAATGCAAGGAGGGGAACCAGTGGAACCAGCAGTCGGCCCATCCGACCATTTCCACGATTCTCTGTTTAGGGACGTTCATTTTTACGGTCGTTTATTTGTATTTGTATCCACTTCCGAACTACTAGGCAACCGGGGAGGAGGTGGAACAAGCCATCTCCACTTTTAATTTGTTACAGTTTTATCAGAGTTTTTCATATTTTTGTTGATTTTTAAGAAAAGAGAGAAGATTTCTTATTTTTTTGTCGGAATTTTCAGTACAATTAATTTTAGTTGATTACGTACTTAAATTATCAACTTATTTCTTAGTTAAGTAGAGGCGATTTTAGTTTAAAACGAAAAAGCGGAGGTGAATTGATTTACTTTGAGTTTCGATTCAATAGATAGCGTGATTGTATGAGGAGTGTTTCGATTGAAGAAAACGTCTAAATTAAAGACATAGAAAACTGCGATTTTTCATTCCTTTCATAGCGAACGGAAAAGAACTGTTAAAATCGTGGGATATTTTACTTGCATTGGCTATAAAGTGGTAAGTTGTTCATATCAAATTCTTTCAATTGGCTGGTAAACGCTAAAGCAGATCATTCCATTCAAACGAAATACAAATCTTAAATGTTAGATAAATTGTATAAGATTAAAGAAAAAATTTCATAAGCCACTCTCATCACCCACATTCCATTCAACTTGGCTGGAGTAAATCATTTCACTGAGCACTACGTGTTTCGCCCCCACAAATCCATTCCGAGGCTTAGGTTTTGCCAAACCGCTTAAATTTCTACTTTTGAGTGTGATTTTGTTTGCTTTATTCATTCACAATTCTTCACGCTTATGTTCTTAAGAAGGTACCTTAAGCAGTTTCTTTTAAACCGAATAATCTCATTTTTAAATATCATACAATCGTATTTATTTTACCATTTTTTTTTTAATAATTTTAAACCTTATAAAATCGTTAAATGTAAAACTGTAGATTAGGAAACACATGAAAAATATAATCAAAATTACGAGTTACTAAAAAACGAATCAATACTTAGGAAAAAGAACACGAATCACGACAAAACAGAATACATGCAATCATAAGAACACGATCGAAGATAAAACACGATAACACATAACCACTCTAACAAAGAAGAGAGAGAGAGAGAAAAAATCTCACAAATCGCGAGAACAAGTTAAGGAAAGCAGTTGCCTTATTTTATGTGAAACACTCAGTCTCAGCATAGTGTCCTTCCCTCTCACATTCAATCGTTAAACGGTTCTTTTTTGGGAACGGAAACACACATCCTACAACTGAAAGGAAGCACGTGCACCAAGCAAACAAGAAATAACCCGTGATTGGCATTAATAGGTAGACGTGTAGACGAATTTAAATTTACAACCCAGACACCATTGAAACGTGCAGTGAATAGATATCTATTTTGTTAGAGTCCTTTTGAAAATTACTAACTACAGGTGAACACAAACAGAAACTAAATAATCTCACTGTCTCGCTGTCATCTCGATGTATCTCTATCTCACTCTCTAGTTTTATAGCAGCTTTTACTGTAGTCTGTATAGGGTCAAAGAAGAAAATAATTGGTAGTGATCGAGAAGAGTCCGCGTGTCTGTAGTTACTTAATCTCTGTTAATTATTCTGTCCCGGCATAAGAAAAAAAAAAAAACGATAAACATGCAATCTCTTTTGAAGAAACGATCACCTGATCTAGTCAATCTGTAAAACACAAACAACGAGACTATTTATTTTTCCACTATTGTTTTTTTACTTGCTTATCAAATGATTTTGAATTAATGTACTAAGGTGTAGCACTAATTCGTCCTCTGGGATGTTCATCATTTGCGTCAAAAACAGTAAAGTTAATCAACCGATGTGTATGCATCAAATTCCATATCGTAGTTTCGATTTAATGGAAGAATATCGTATCAAAGCGAAGATGACGAACTAGTTTCGCACCCTATTTGAAAATACTATCCTATTTTACTTGTTACGTGTGCATTTTGTGAAGACATTGTTTTCATTCAAGGAGCAGTTTAAATTAAAAAAAAATCGTCTGAAAAGCAAATCGGTATTAGGCCAAACACTTTTAGGCATAGTTCATTAGCCCAAAGTTGTAAAAACTAAAGAATGAACACTTAGACATTGTTTTATTAATCTTGAACATGATCCAAGGGAAAACTTTGGTTTATCAGCCTTAGATCTGCTTTTAAATGTCCCAGGCATGGATTTTTAAAGATTCTAGGCCTTCCATTCCATTTTGGTATCAAGCTGTTCAATATTTTGATGAGTTGGAACTATTTTTTTAAAGACTTCATCAAGCGTTTTGCAGGGATTTTGGATTTTGGATTCCCGACATTAAGACTTGTACAGATCCTATTGTTGTTTATTCATTTATTTTATAAGGCTCATTCGAATTAACTTTACACAGAGTCGAGGATTCTTGTTAACTATACAAAACATCGTAAAACTATAGTTAAACGGTACAATAAAATAAACACTGTATCTTCCGCTATCCAATAAGCCTCCTCCATCAGAACGGGAGCCGCTTCCAGTGGTTTCATTGTATGGCAGTATCGCCAACGGTGGTCAGCACTCACACATTCATCACTAAACGGTTGCTTTCCAAAGTCGACGACGCATCAACCGAAAGAACAGCTGATGAAGAATAATGAGAACAACCCAAGGGGTATTCACCTTAATCTGTGTCAAGCGTTGTGCCGATAATTCCAAAGCAGGCCGAAGTGTATCAATCAAGGTGTCAATATCCCATGAGTTTGGCAACCCTGAAGTTAGACTTTTGTGATTGTGTTTACATTTTCAGTTTATCTAATTCATGACCATGGTTCCTGGCAAATATTAAGCTTCACTTTCATTAGAATGAGAACGGATTGGACAGTGGAAGAGGAACTGGAAGCAATACAACCTAAACGACCCGTCCACAGGAACCAGCTGCCAGTAAAATGCTTCCCGGCTAAATCAAACCCAGAACCTGCACGGACGAAAGTTCACTCCCATCCTAGAAACAACATCCTCGAAACAGTTCTGATCGACTCAGAACTACGCAGCCTCGACGACATCACCCAAGCCTATCGTATCGTAGATTGTGATGTCTCCTACCATCACCCAATTACACACGTTCAAGTCTATCAAGTTCACGATCCTTTGGAGATGTGATACCACAAGGTACCACCAATCAAAATGGCCAATGTACCACTTCATATCTGTCTGATGACATTGACATCATGTTCCGTGCCATTTGAGACGATGGCGGAAACGTACATCAGACTGAAGGCTGAAGCTAGGCGGATTGGACTTACCATCAACACATCAAAGACAAAATACATGGAAGAGGTTCTAGGGAAGACAATGTTAGCCTCCCACCCCGAGTTCAGATCGAGGTGGTCGATGAGTTCGTGTATTTGGGCTCACTGGTGACCGCCGAAAATGATACCAGCAGAGAAATTCAAAGACGCATTATGGCAGGGAACCGTGCCTACTTTGGACTCCGGGGGACGCTCCGGTCGAATAAAATTCGCCGCCGCACGAAGTTGACTGTCTACAAGACGCTGATTAGACCGGTGGTCCTCTTCGGCCACGAGACCTGGACTATGCTCGTGGAGGACCAACGCGCCCTTGGTGTTTTCGAACGGAAGGTGTTGCGTACCATCTACGGTACCAGCTGCTGGGAGAACCATCCATCGTTCACATTGCAAAAAATTGGGCGACTACGGTGGGATTGGCACGTCGTAAGAATGCCGCACGACGACCCAGTGAAAATGGTTCTAGAAAGCGATCCAACAGGATCAAGAAGAAGAGGCGCGCAGCGGGCAAGGTGGATCGACCAAGTAGAAGGCGACTTGCGGACCCTTCGCAGACTACGAGGCTGGCGAAGTGCGGCCATGAATCGAGTAGAGTGGAGACGACTCCTTCGGACAGCAGAGGACAACAAGGCCTTAGTCTGATTGATGGTATGGTACGTATCGACATCCCCCAATAAGTACTGGGACTTGTATGGACATCCCTATAAAGTCCTGTGGATTTCCCATCGAAGTCCATACCAATTGAAACCAATGACTGGCAAGGATACCTTAAGAAAACCGTAGGAGAGAACGATAAAATTTTCATCATGGAAGACCCTTGGCAAGACCGGGATTCAAACCTGGCCAAAATACAAAACCCATCGTTCGTTATCGTTCGTTCTGCATAACAACCTCGTAAAACAAAACAAAACTCCTCCGCAGCTGGCGCAATATTGTCGTAGTTCAGAGGATCTTTGTCCATTCAGTTCGCCGATCGCATTCCGCACCTTACTGTCGTATTGGACGATCATTTGACCAACTGTTGCTGGAGGGAACCCATTTTGACTGTCGTATCGACCCTCTCGACTGACCGTGGTGTGGAAGAACTCTGTTGGCGTGAAGCTATTCTGGACGAAACCACGAGCCGCTGGGATTTTCGCTACGCACGACGCACTTGGCATAGATGGCCCACAGCGACACACGAAGAGCTACTGAATCCGATCAGTAGCGGTGCGGCTTCTTCCTCCTTCTTCGGTGAATGGACGCTCATGTGAGCTGCAGCTCACTGTTCAACGCCACGCGCCAAAAGCACTGCTGCTGCTGCTGTTGCTAACGACCGACCGGACATCACCACACAAGGTGATTGAATAAGCAACGTTCAAGAAGACCGGTTGGAATTTGATTTTGAAAGGTGTGTTAGGGAAAGCGGTTTTTGCAGGTAATCGGTGATAATTTTGATCACCATTGCAACAGTTGGACATTTGTGTAATTTTCAATATTTGTTTTCAATTGAAAATTGATAAAGTGTTCAATTTAGCAGATTCGTAGTAAAATTTCTAGTCGATTGGCTTGTTTAGAACTAAAATCCATCCGCTATTGACAGAGTTTATAATGTGGTCAACATCTGACCACTTTTCGTAATGCGGTCGATTTTGGTTTTTCGAAATTGCACCCCCAATATGTTGCCGAAAGACGTAATCCTAAAAATACCCAGAGAGGTTTCTGGAGATCTCTGAACACCGGAAGATCTTTGGAAAATCTGGTTTCCTGAGAAATGTCTATGATATAAAGCAAATTTGCCCTATAAATTTTCCCTTGGCCATCTGCCAGATTAGAAGAATACATCCACAGAAATTTGAAACAGAATTCATTCTTGTTTCGAACCCGCTCAGATATAAAACAGAATAGTCGGGCAGTTGCAAATATGATGCAAACTAGTGCTCGAATAATGAAATTTCAATTCAGTATTGCGTTCCTGTTCTAGTTTCAAATTGAAACAGTCCATATGAAATACAACAGCATTGCGAACGTCCTAAAAACTCAGTTCTATAAATCTGAAATATTGAATACCTTTCCCCGAACGCACATTTTAAAAGTATCAGTGAAGACATTCCGTCGATCTCATCTTTCTAAATACACCTGGTCTTTATTTCTCATGAAACTCAAAATGAAAATTGATCAAAATTAACTTCACAAAAGTACACGATAGTTTTACGTTCTTGCGACATTACAATCTCGATCTTCTAAGTTTAAACATATGATTTTACCTTTGTTTTTTTTTTATGAAATGTCTAACTTTTAAATACTTTTAAGGCTCGATTTTATCCCGTATTTCCAATTATTCATTTTTTATCCACCCCACTATATTACAAAACTTGCGAATACCAAAACAGATCTCTAAAGAACGGATTAAATTTCCTGAATAAATAGTGTTAAGGCTAAAGCAAGGAAGCACTTTCATTCCTTTTGAAACTATAACTAAGCATGTGTTAAATTACAGTTCCATCGATTCGCGGCAGAAACCGAAATTCGTTTAATCAATCGCACATTATCATACAACAAAAGAAACACTTTCATAAAGTAGGTTATTTATTATACTTAACAAATGAAAACCATAAAGCAAACATGAGTATTTATTCACCACTTAGCTGACGGCGGTCACAATCATTGATTTACATACACTGTGACACTTTAATCCATATTATCTTATCATATATTAAGGTAAGGCTATTATAGATTTCGCCTATTTTACACGGGAAGCTTACTAGAAAAGAGACTTTCGAATGATTTGTTGGGCTGCATTTGATTGCATCGAATGCAGCATTGTAGGAACACACTAAAGTATGAAATGAAACGATTTGACTGTTTATGCCTGCAGCTGCACTTTTTTATGTTGGAATAGGAAACGATTAGCGAGCTTTAGTTTAGTGAGTGAAAGGGATAGCGCACTACCTAGAAAGCTTCTCAACGTATTTAATCACTCGTTTTAAGCCGACTGATTTTCCGCGTTAGAAAGACGGCAGCGCCTGTAATGTGTAGCACACACGCGTACTTTTTACGAGGTCTATTTTAATCCGTGCAGTTCCAAAAATATATACCTAGTTAGCGAGAGGCAATTTTTAATCGTTACAACTTACAACCGCGATTAGATTCACATTCAAAGAACATTCAAACACAAATGAAGCCAAAAACATAAGCGTAAATTTACAGGATTTCAAACACAAACAAACCACCAAAAATCACACCAGACAATAGAAGGATAGCACGCAAATAAGCTTTGTACTTAATGTTAAGGCTGCCTGAACATTCATTTCATGTAACACAATACGTAAGTAACCCTAATTTTTCGGATGTTAAGTTATATTTAGCGACACAATAATTTCACGGTTCATCCAAATTTGAAATCTCAAAACAAATTCCACAACCGGCAATAAACATTATTTGATGTGCTTCAACTAATCCGAACTATGAAAAAGTTAATAAAAATTGATTGAAAACTTCTACAAAAATAGCTTGTGTTACTTTTCGCTCCTAACCTCCAACCGTTTTCGAACCAATAATAATTTGTTCTTCCTCGCGTCGCCCTGCGTCCCCACTTTCTCTCTCTATCTCTCTTCCGCAGAATCTCCTATGTTGCGCCGCTGACGTACTGGAAGGCCGTGGCATCGTCCAGGTGGCGATAACCGTGGTGGAATTGATGAAGTTCCACAACCCTGCCGCCCACGTGCGGTCACCGACGCGAAGTTTCTACGCCAGTGGAGGCAACAGCCCGTCAAACACCACCAGTAGTAGCAGCAGCAGTGGCGGACCAAAGAGTGCAACCTCGTCGCCCATTTCGTCGGCCACTTGACCCCCTGCGATGATGGGGGAGATGGGCGTGGCGGACAAACCCTGCGGGGAGCTGGTTCTATCCGCACATCAGCCCCAGAACAATGGCGGCGGTGCCGGCGGTAAGTCGATGGACGACGAAGTCTGGCGGATTTAGGACCGGACATCGGAACCGGTAATCGAAAGGTGCTCGTCGGAAGGTGTAAGTTAGTCTTTTTTTTTCTCTCTCTCTCTATCTCGCGAGGTATCTCGATTGTACGCGAACTTTACGGAACGCGTACGGACTGTATGTGACATAGGTTAACCCAAAAATTAGGTCGTTTAGGTTATTTGATCTTCCTGCTTTGAGGGAAGCATCAGGACACTGCAAAATCAATTGTAGAATTTTTGAAAGACTCTTTAGGTTCTTTTGTACATAGGGAAAGATAGTCGATGATGGGACAAGTACTGGGAACTGTTCGTTTTTAGTTCAGCGCACTCTAGTGAGTGTATGCACAGGTTTATTGTAAACAAAAAAAAAATACTGACTTTGTTGTATTAAAAACGGTTCGGAACAGGATCCAAAAAGGGTACTCGTATGCATAAGCTTAATCTTATTCTATTTATTACACTCACGAAATGAGAAGGTTGTCGAACCAGTTAGGTGTACTGGGGGGGTGGGTAGCTCGTTTTTCTATTTGAGGCTAGGCATCAATGTAGGAGAATCACAGCAAGGGCTCTAACCCGTTTGGCAGAACTGTTGTTTGGTATAATGGTCGTTTGGAATTATGGCCATTTGGCATAAATGTGGCTACTTATGCCGATAGGTTGTACTTTAACAGGATATGATAGATCTGCTGATGATAAAAAGAAGGGAAAATAATCATTTCATTGGTGTTTACCCTTCTTTTGAACATACAGTGTATCTCAAAATTGATCGTACAACACTACTTAAACGGCTCTAAAAGCACAAGTTAAAATGATACGTATCTGAATTTTTGGTTGCTGACTCAGTATACATTTATCAATTATTGGCTCAGTATTGGGCATATTTGGTTGAGTTTACAAAAAGTTAGAGTAATTTAAGGAAAACGCCTTGAAAAACTTTATTTTCTTGAATTAAAATGAACATAACTTCTTGAAATTTTGCTCATTTTTAGTCGTAATAAAGATCATTCATCTGCCACTAATTTTACTAAAATTCGTCCACTAGGTACAAAGTTGAAAATCGAGCGTTTTACTAAAATAAATCTAAGTTCATACATGCTCCTCCAATTAAGACCAACATTATAGCAATAAATCAATAAACATCTGTTCAATCACCAGCCACGATTAAAAAAAAATACGTCTATTGCCCATGCTTAAAAAAATTCTTCTAGGATGTACGATCAATTTTGAGATACCATTGTAAGTTGTTTTATTTTTCGTGTTTATGCTAAATGGTCACTAAGCCAAACGGCATTATGCCAAACGGGGTAGAGCCCACAGAACGTGCGCACCAAAAATGTCGGTTGGGTATAGATTGAAGAAGTGGTTTCCAGCAGAAAATGCAACAGGTATTTGGATTAACAATTTAAAGTTAACCGGCTTGAGAGATGGACAGGATTGGAATGGATCGACTTTTTGAGGTTATGTTGAAAGGATTTGTTTCTGTTTTAAAAGATTCCTGTTTGGAGCAGCACGGAAAAACTCGACTTTTTTCCAATTTGTATGAAACTTTGCATAATTGACCATTTAGTTAAGGCTATTTTTCACGCAGATGGCGCTGTCCCATTGGTAGTAAGTGATAAAAAATACCCATATAGAAATTTGTAAAAGTGGAAATCATACGCCTTTGATGCATATTCAGGTCAAAAGAAGTTGACGACAACCTAAAGAAATAATTCCTAGGCTTTGTCCACAGACAAACAGACATAACACTCACAATCAAATTCTTGGCAAATAAGGTTTCAGTTCGAAATATGCTCGCATTTGTCATGGTGGCGCCACTGAAGCGTTAAGCAAGTCAGCACATTTCGAACTTATCAGGGGTACTTTGACTATATGTTTAGTATTACTTCTGCGTGAAGTCAACGATTTACATAGTTGAAGATGCTAATTTCGAATAACTGACTGAAGTGGTAATTTTTATACGATAGATGAGTAGGTGATGAAAGTATAGAATTGATAGTTCCGTTAGAGTACGGCAGTGTGAAAATTGCATATATAAGAGTAGCGAGCTAGGACAACTTTTAATGAAGGTACAAATCGGTTTTATCATCTCTCTTAACCAAACTCCGCCTTTGGAGAGGGATGGTGAGAGGTGTTTTCTTGGGAAAGTATCCCGCATACTAATCTGACGAATACAGCGTGAAGTATCCTGCTATTTGTCACTTGTGTTTCTCATTAAATGATTCAACTTTACTTGTTGATCTTTTATGCAAGATTCAATTTATTATTCCAATTTATCTTAGCTTATGTATTTGCTAGCCAATCAGCGATCGATACACATACACTACCCGTCATAAGTGATGACTCGCGTGGAAAAGTATTGCAACACTCGTTTGAATATTGCATCACCCCCAAAAAAGTTTAGCATCACCCAAGAAAAGTTTATATTTTCACTTAAATTTGAACAAATTCACTGTATCACTGTTAAATTATTGTAGTAAACATTCAGAAAGCCAGAATTAGACTAAGAAAGTGTTGCAGCAAGTGATGGCTCCCGGTAGAGAAGTTAGATATCATTATGGATAGTACTGAATCATTTCGAGCTAGAAATCATTTCAAATTTATTGATCTAGCAGATTTTCAGGTCTGATTCACATCAAATTCAAGTGATTTCAAACTTTTCAGGCCTGATTCACATCCCATTCAAGTGATTTCAAACTTTTCAGCTCTGATTCACATCCAATTCAAGTGATTTCAAACTTTTCAGCTCTGATTCATCTATTTCAAATGATTTCAAACTTTTCAGGTCTGATTCACATCTAATTCAAGTGATTTCAAACTTTTCAGGTCTGATTCACATCAAATTCATGTGATTCTAAACTTTTCAGGTCTGATTCACATCCAATTCAAGTGATTTCATACTTTTCAGCTCTTATTCACATCAAATTCAAATGATTCCAAACTTTTCAGGATTGATTCACATCCAATTCAAGTGATTCCAAACTTTTCAGGTCTGATTCACATCAAATTCAAGTGATTTCAAACTTTTCAGCTCTGATTCACATCAAATTCAAGTGATTTCAAACTTTTCAGGTCTGATTCACATCCAATTCAAGTGATTTCATACTTTTCAGCTCTGATTCACAGCAAATTCAAATGATTCCAAACTTTTCAGGTCTGATTCACATCCCATTCAAGTGATTTCAAACTTTTCAGGTCTGCTTCACATCAAATTCAAGTGATTTCAAACTTTTCAGCTCTGATTCACATCCAGTTCAAGTGATTTCAAACTTTTCAGCTCTGATTCATCTATTTCAAGTGATTTCAAACTTTTCAGGTCTGATTCACATCCAATTCAAGTGATTTCAAACTTTTCAGGTCTGATTCACATCAAATTCAAGTGATTTCAAACTTTTCAGGTCTGATTCACATCTAATTCAAGTGATTTTAAAACTTTTCAGGTCTGATTCACATCAAATTCATGTGATTCTAAACTTTTCAGGTCTGATTCACATCAAATTCAAGTGATTTAATACTTTTCAGCTCTGATTCACATCAAATTCAAGTGATTTCAAACTTTTCAGTTCTGATTCACTTCAAATTCAAATCATACCAAACTTTTGTGTACAGAATCGCAACGACTTCACGAGATTCTAAACTTTTCAGGTCTGATTCTCCGTGGAGCGATATTATTCTTATGGCGGGTAAAATATATTAATTGATTTACTATTTTTCATAGTGATTTCAAACTTATCTACTAAGGATCAATTAATTTGAAATGATTTCTAGCTCGAAATGATTCAGTACTATCCATAGTGATATCTAACTTCTCTACCGTGAGCCACCACTTTCTGCAAAACTTTCCTTGTCTAATTAAGAGCTTTCTAAACGTTTACCGCAATAATATAACAGTGAGTTTGTTCAAATTTTAGTGAAAAAATAAACTTTTCTTGGGTGATGCTTAACTTTTTCAGGTGATGCAATATTCAAATGAGTGTTGCAATACTTTTCCACGCGAGTCATCACTAGTAGTGTAGATCGACCAAGAGAGGGAGAGAAATGATCAAGAGAGAAACCGTGCTGCGGTTTTCCCACGTTACATGTTGCATGGTGACAACGCCGCTTGGAAACAAGCGTAGTGCATTGGCTTAGTAATTTGATCTTTTCATCGGAAATTGATTATGCAGTACCTCGAAACTTATTGTAGGGACGATGACTGACGACAGTTAGGGAATTTTGACTCAGCAGTGGCGCAACAAATGCGATCTGCTGGAAATTAATAGAATTCGATGGCGTCTGTTATGCAGATGCCGCAACAGAAAAAAAAACAAGTTATTGAAGGTGATGATGATGGTCCCACCGCTCCCCCCTATCGTAATTTTCAGCAATGTCAGGAATGCATTGAATATTAGATTCAAAAAGCTGTACATTGGTCGTTCCGCTTCTAGCGAAGACAGCATATCAAGTAGACTGGCAACTCTTCCATTTTCTCAAACGACCGGTACGAGACAGGCACAATCGCGTCATAAGTCGCTCAAAGGTAATTGCTTCGAACGAATTGGATAGCAAAGGTTCCATCCTCAGAAGAAAGGTTTGTGTATTTGCTCATTTTTCAATGCGTTGCTTTGCTCGAGCGCAGCGCTACTGCTGCCAGCTGTTTTTCTGACTGGATATCTGGGGTTTTACCATATGCGTGATAATGTTTGCACCATTGAGCAATGTCAAAACTAAAAAAAATTCTCAAAAATTTCGTTTCGTAGAGTCTTAAACTATGTTAATCATCGATCGAGTTTCCACTTGCTGCAATTACGGCCTCCACACGCTTCCGGAATGCACGGCAGGTTCTAATAATGTAGTCTGTATCCATTTCTCTCCAGGTACGGGTCAATGTTTGTCTGAGGCTTGCTGTACTCGGGTGGCGTTTAGAACAGGCCTTGGTCTTCATGACGCGTCATATTGAGCAATCCAGCGGATTAAGATCAGGGCTGGATGGCGGCCATATATCCTTCGCCCAGAACGAAAGATGTTCCTGCAACCACTTCTGAGTGCGGTGCGAGGTGTGGCACGGAGCCCCATCTTGTTGAAATACAACATTTGGCTTCGGACCGTACTGTTCTTTGATCCACGGAAGAACATACTTACTTAAAATCCCGATGTAGACCTCCGTGTTGACCTTGTCGCCTTCTGGAATGAACACCGGGTCCATTTTTTGGCCATCGGAAACCACCAATCCAAACACCATAACGCAGGATGCTTGGTCAGATACACGTTCTTGTGCTCGTCGGCCACGTCTTTTACCGGAAGAGAACTAATATACCGGTCGGTTCTGGAATTTGGTACGGGATCAACGGTAAACATGCTCTCGGGTGAACAGGAGATTACCGGATTTTTTCACTTAAGGTTCAATTTACTTTGATGCTTATTGGAAAATTTCAAAAGCAGTTTTTCCGACGAATTATTTCAGATTGTTAAAAGCTCGCACTGTTCGATTCCTTTTGAAATTTTCCAAAAAGCATCTAAGTAAATTGAACCTTAAGGAAGTTCAAGATTTTCTTGCATCGTTCGACGCGTAGCTCCCGGATGCGGTTGGTAATCATATGAGTTTTTTTCCGTGCCCTCGACTTCGCCCCGCAATCTTTCTTTACGATCTTCCGTGCCGTAAAGTCACTGATCCCGTGTTCCTTTGCCATTTTCCTTATTGAACGCACTGGATTTACCTGAGTATTTGATAGCAGCGATAACCCTCGGAACCCGAGCTGACGTCAAAAGACCTTTGGCCACCTTCGCGGATAGTTGTCCTTTCTTTTCTCGGTCTAAAACCCTTTTGACGGTCCATTGGGACACTCCCACGGCGATTAAAATGTCTTTTTGCGACATTTGTGCGTGGGACAAATCACGAATACGCTGCCACTGCGTCATTGTGCAACTGTCAAACTAAGTAAATCATTTTCTTTTATACACAGCCTACTACGGTATGAGCTATAGGTTACGTACATGCAAAGAAAACCAAGGCATTGTATAAAAGAGGTGAAACGGGAACCTTATTTGTACGGTGGTGCAAACATTATCACACATACGGTATTTAGATTAATCTGTAGAACTGCAAGGAATTTTGCAGATCTTCAGAGACATTCAGTGATTTAGTGTTTCAGAAAAAATACTTCAATTCCAAAAACAAATCTCAGCGAAGCACGAAAGTCCAAGATTTTGCAGAACTTCATTTTAGAAAAAAAAAGCAAAACTTCAGAAAAACTCACAGAACTTCTGGAAAGTTCGCCGATCCTTAGAAGTATCAGAGAAATTTAAATATTTTCAGTAAATTTCTAGAGCTTTAACGATTTTAAAAGAATTTCAGATAAATCTGCAGAACTTTATTGAGGTTCTTGGATTTTAAGTTAAATTTACAGAACTTCTGGGAAGTTCGTTGATCTTTATAGATATTTGTACAACTTCAAAAAAAATTAGTAGATCTTCAGAGAAGTTCCTTAAATTTCCGGGAAGCTCAAAAAATTCTAGATATTTTTTTATAATTAAGGGAATTGCGTAGATGCTCAGAGGTATTTGCAGATATTAATTGAATCATGATAATCATCAGAGATAATTGTTGATATTTAGGGATCTTATCTGCATAGATTCAGGAACTTTTTTTTATAATCCATTTATTTGTCAAGGCTCAAATGCGTTAGCTTTGCGGAGCCGAATAATTTTTACATGATTGTGTGTGAATATCATTTTCTTACAACTAATGTTAGTAGAACGGAGGCCGATGACTCGAGATTAGGGATTACATTTATTGATCATTTGGAGGGAGGACAAGGGAAAGCATTTTGAACTAATTTAAAACTTAAACGTAAAGGATGACTAAAACACAAAACATTAAACACATACATCAACAGCTTTAAGAAAGTCGTAAATATGCTTCATTAAGTCGATATCACGGCAAGCCAAGACATCTCTAATTGGCTTAAAGGGTTGTTTTCCTCGGGCCCTAAGGGAATCACACAGAACGGATCTCGCCTCATGATGCAAGGAGCAGGACCAAACAACATGCTCGATGTCGTGATAACCGTTTCCGCAGGTGCACAAGTTGCTGTC